TTATATATATATATTCTTAAGTGAGCCCATGAAGATCTCTGTTCATCCAAATATCCTAAAACCTTTTATGCCAAGCAATTCCTTGGCAGGTAGGCCACAGAATCACATGACCGTGCTAACACCATAGACAGTTTCTTCACTGTCGTATTGGTCCTTCAAATCCTATGGATATGACTGAACATGAGGAAACCATCGCACTTATGTGTGGAACATTTTTATTAATATTGCTCCACTAAAAAACAAAAGCACTATGCTGGCTTCTAAAACCAAGAAAAGGAAAACAAGACAAGAAGGTCGGCTGATTCCTTTGCTCACCTGCAAAGCTGCTTTCTGCTGGGCTGCAATATGCTGCTGTTCTGCATGGTCCCGGAAATCCTTATTAAGAGAGGGTCTCGAGAGTGCAATGCTAGAATGAAGATAAGAGTTACTTGAGAGGTGAAGGTGGAACTCCTTATTTCTCAGCCACACTTCTACTTTCCAGAATAAGTCTTTTTTTCCTTTCCTCTTATTCTATGCTAGTTTACATGAAATTCTGTACTTTACTGGGGTTTCAAGTAATCTTTTTATTTGTAATTATGGTTCTCCTGTTTTCTTTAAAAAAAAATTTTTTTTCATTTTTTTAGTGTACCGTCAAATCGGATCTGACTGGTAAAGGAGGAGACTGTTCCTCCTTCTCCAGCAAAGCATCTGGTGGATTTGAACCGCGAGTTCCCCTGTTTTCAAACATATCTGAGGAAATCTATCAATAATCATACTGACATTATTTTTAAAAACAGTTCAAACAAACCACAGAGTAGTCATAAATAGTAGAACTGTACCTTTTTGTTTGCATAATAAGTATAAATTATCATATATATGTTCCACATAGGCATAACTAGTAGGAACAAATAATAAGACTTAGAGGCAGCCATCTACAATACTATAGAAGAGTTATATATACTTGACTCTGCTAAATCTTAACCAAGCAGTAACCAGTTGCTGACATATTTCAACAGACAGATGCTGCCCTGTATGTGCTCCCCAAGTTGTGCCAGGTAATCTAGAGGACAACTAGCTGGCCAGCTGACTAGAAGAGAGCCATACCTATTCCTATTCCAAAAAAGGGTGACCCAAGAAGAGTGTGTGAACAATATCACTGATAGCACAAGCAAGCAAAATCCTGCTGAAGAGTTTCCAAAAATGTCTAGACAGAAAACTACCAGAAATAAATACATGCCAGGCTTAAAAGAGGGCCTGGCGAATCCAGAATTAAGGCATAGAGAAGTGTACTCGGGGTGGGGGGTGGGGGGAAAGGGATGGGGGAA